TAATTCATAAATATAATTAAACCAAGATTATTATTTTTTATTCATACTATTTTAGGCTCACAAGCTAGGAATGAATGTGTGGTAAACATTATTTCATTTTAAAAATGTATATATAAATAATATAATTTTTTTATAAGAAAATTAATATTGGTAGGGTATCTAGTCATTAAGGGTGTGTTTGGTGCAGCTCATCAGCTGCGGCGGTGTTTTGAAAACGCCACATTAGTATTTAGTGTTTGAAAAATGCGTTTATCTGAATAAGCTGGATAAGCTGCAGCTACCCCAAACAGACCCTAAATTGAACCTTATAGTGCTGGCGAATAATGACATATTTTAAAAAGTAATCTCGTCCACATTTTGTATTCTAATCTTTATATTTAAAATATATAACTTTAAAAATAATAGCATTTCACTTTTAATATATATACAATAGAAAATTTACATTCATACGGCACGATTCTTATGCATCTATAAATCTAACATCTAAATTTTGATATTTGCATTTATAGCATTTTGATGGTTGTACATTTCAAATTTTAGGAATTAATAATGGTGGCTTTGATGTGATGTTAAAGTTTTGAATGTTATAAATGTAAATATGAAAGTTTTTTATGTTAGATATGTAAATACATGAGATATATATGATATGTATGTAAATACCCCAAAAAAATGGATCTGACAAGTTAAGCAAGGTCGCTTTTATACAGCTACAGAAGCCTGGCACCAAACGATGCGTCCAAATGTCAATAGATCAGTCCTTTGATCCACATTGCAGTGACTTTGCTCTCTATTAAATGGAATCATTTGTACTCTGTTTTCAGCAATAATTTATTTATTTTTCTTTTTTTGAGAAATATAAGTGATTGCATTTTTAGAAAATATATAAATTTAAAAAGCATAGGTCAAGGAAACAAGACCAATGATACATTGAATGTGTGGTTTCAAGCACAAATTGGCATAAAGAGAGTGTTTAGAAGCATAATAAAAATATTATTGTAATCAATCAACAGTGAAAAATTTCTAAGATAAATTTGATGAGTCTAAAATCTATATAGTTTAAGTTGAATAAAACAATGAGGTGATCAAAAAATATAAACTAATCAAGGGTCTAATGTCTAATATTTTAGGATGAATTGGTTGACAGAGTTAGTATGCATTGGGAGAGAATATCTATCACTATCGTTGTAAGCCCAAACAATTGTTTGTAAGAATTTACCTTTCAAAGTTATTATTTGCCTTTTTTTGGTCATTTAGTCATCCCTCCATTTAAGAAGACAGCTGCATTGAACAACGAAAGTTAGCAGATTTGTTTGATTGATGTTCAAATAAGAAAGGAGATCAAACAACAAAAATATGATCGTTAATTAATATTAATTGTTAATCAATGTCAGACATAGATCAATGATATAATTCGAGAAATAGTCAATGCTAGACATTTTGAAGATAGTTAGGAGGCAGATAATAGTAGGCGGTGAGCTTATTTGTGACCTTAATAAAATGGGAGAATGCATGATTAAGAAGATAAGTGTTCCATGTTAAACATCAATCACTAGCAGGTATTAGGCTATTGCTACCAAGGAAGTAAAGTCAATATTTAAAACAAGGTGAAAGATCTACTTGGTTGGTTGGTTGTTTATTTAATAAGATGGGAGATTCGACAATCAATAGACAGAGTTATGATATTGGACTGGAAAATAACCATTATTAATAGACATGGGTCTATGATAGTCTGGAAATATCAGTTACTCATGAAAGAATGATGATCATGTACAATCAATTTAGTCATTCAGGAGAGACTGAACACCCGAAAAAATGCCCATCTAATTTCAATTTCTAGCTAATGTTAAATATTATTCATTAGCAAATATTCGGTTACAATTGACTGTGAACATTAAGATTTAATTATTTGGGTGTTTAATTTGGATACTCACCATGCATTATTGAATATTGGGTGGCAAGAAGACATACATCAGAAGTCAATAGTTGATAGATATCAAACATTTGTCATTAGAAGACGTGATGTAACAATGAAAATGGAATATCTAAGATGGGGTGATGTCCAATTATTTAATTTGTTGATAGTAAGAATATATGTCTATATCACTAGCCGATATATGTCAAATATTGAACATTGGTAGATGACAAGCATAAATTATAAAAAAATAATGAAATTAAGATGATGATGGTGGGTTTTGACATGCATACTTAATAATTATTTTCTTATGTAAGATGGGATATTGGCTGAATAATTATACAAGATCTACATGTGTTGAGCAAATGTTAATAGAGAATATTTTAAGTGGAGCAATGATACGAAAACAATTTAATTATTCTTTTTTATAAAACGTGTGAATGGACACTCAAGAGGATGCGCATCAAGCATCAATGGCAAGTTGAAATTCTACATTAATAATTGGCAAACAATATGCGTTGTTTAGCATAAAACATTCAAAGTTAGGCATTAGTGAGAAATAAACTTAGTTGTTTTTTGAAAAAAATGATACTAAATAGTCATAAAGATGTGTATCAAAGGACAAGAGATGATGCTTTTTGGTACCAATTGATGTGGTGAGAGAATCTTCATGAGGGTTCACATAATAATGCATATTTATATCAATTTATGGTATGATGACATTCGTTGGAGTTAGCTAATTGTGGCAGTGGATGCTAGTGTTAAAAATTAAGTGTTGGAAGGTGGTTTGCATGGTGTCGCCCTAGCCCAAAAAAAAGAGAGCATATTAATTGGAAAGTTGGAGAAGTATAAATATGTGAAAAATTAATGTAGAAAGATTAGGGTTCTTAAAATGATAAGGCCTCTAAAGTTTTGTTAGTCTATTATAAGATGATAAGGCCTCTAAGACTTTGTAAGTCTATAAATCATTTCCATTAAAAATTCATTACAAATGTTCAAGAATATGGAATATTTATAAATTCATTGTGGTACATTGGACACTCTTATCAAATGATCAAATATATCAGGTCATATCATTTCTTACATCTCAATGAAATAATAAAGTCATGATTAAGTGCTAATAGAATTATCAAATTCATCTCATTCATCTACACATCTTAGTTATAAGCATAGAAAATTGAAAGACATTTGAGCGCACAAACGACATTGAGAAATTCTTAAATTATACTTTTGGGCTGATTTAATGCTATTTGAGATTAATATTATGTCATTTTGATTGCCCTGATATTTAAAAAATAATAATTGAATTTAGCCATTTACACATTTTACTTCTTGTGTAATTGCATGGTCCCAAATTGTACATCAAAATTGTGTTGGCACTGATCTTAAATAGAACTAATGGTTCAGAAGTGAAGAGTACAACGTTGGCTGACCCGCTACCAGAATATCGTGAGGCCCACTTAACCGACCAAATAAAGTCATGCGAGTTAAGCCAACTAGGCCACGAGATGGACAAGAAGACGTCTAGATGATCTAAACACAAGTCATTCAACTATAAATGAGACAAAAGAGCATCTAAGTCAAACACCAAGCCAACCTGATGTGATAGCGCACTCTTCAGAAGAACTGATCCAAGAGAAAATCTTGTTTCATAGTTTCTCCAACAATTTTATGGATGACACGGAAGCTCTTGACTAAGGATCAAGGATTGACAACTCGACTATATCAGTCATCCGACCCATATCGACCAAGCTTAGTTGATAGAGCTAATATTGTCGACCTAATCGACAAAGCTAGAAAGTAGTTAAACAAGCCTAGGCATGTTAAAATACTAGAAATGCCAGAGTACGAAGCTCCTTCCAAACATTGAAAAAAAATATAACATCATTATTGTATCATCTTCTATATAAATAAGGGTAACATTTTATGAAAATGACATAATTGATTGTTGTTCATTTCTCTCCCTTCTTATTTACACTCAATTCTTTGGACGTGATTCATGATCAAATCTAGATTCAAAACAAATATAAACTCTCTAAAAATATTGTTTTGATCACCTTCATATTCTTTAAAATTTCTTAATGTATTCTAAATACTTGGATATCTTAAAATTGCATCATAATTCATATTCAATGAGAACATGCTTCGAATCATGTGAACTTGATTCTATTAAAAATTAATATAATTCATTTAATTAAGAAAAAAATAGTTTGCAAAATAATTTTCTAATGAAATATTTGTGTGGTGCATTTTCATGTGAACTCACATGTACATGAAGCCCCTCTTCCAAGTCCGACCAGTCCAGTTTGTGACTCATAATTTCCGATTTTGGTCCTCTAACCCCTTTTATGTTTCTCCCAAACAGCAAACACTGCAGTCTCCCAACTAAAATACTATAATTTCTTACAAATCCACGTGGAGCCTTTTGATAAGATATTGTTCGTGCATGATTTCGTCTGCTAAGTTTAGCCAAAGAGGAATGAACACGTCGGGCTCACCGCCACGTCGCAAGCCAAAGCAAGGCTTTTGGCTTGCGACTTGGCGGGGCCCACAGCAACCCGCCCGTGACATCTCCTGCCATGTAGCTAAACTAAGCCGCTGTAGGGATGGCTACCCGTATGTCGCGGGTATGCTTGGCCAAGATGATGCGGTGGGGTCGGCAGTTAATATTGGTTAAACACGTGTCGAACAAATAGGTCGAATAAATATTTTTTTATTTCCTCTTTATAATTTATTTGATCCAATTAAAACATTGACTCTAAACATATGTAAATAACCTTTAAATATTTTAAAAAAAACACAACTTTGAATGTAAATTTAGCTATGGAGTGAGATAATGCTATTAAATAACTATAATTCAATTTTATTTATGGGGAGAACTTTATATTCTCAGGCAAAAAAAAAAATAATAATAATAATAATTGAAATGATGCAATAATGATAGAATGAATTTCTAAAATCTTTGAGAGGGAGAGGTTTTTACGTGGAGGCAAATAAGTGTGCTAAAGACTGGTTTAAAGTGTCTTCCGATTTGAGAAAACATTTTGTCTAGTAAGTTGAACGTGCGGTTGATGGTGTGAATTGCATCATGCCGTCGAACGCGTTCACACCATCAACCGCACGACGTTATGGATCGACGCCATTGTTTGTAGGTTCAGACCAAAAACATAATATTTTCTTCTTTTGATTAATCAGATTTAAGTTTGCAATTAATTTTGCATAAAATTAAACAAAATTAACAATAGAATTGGTCAATTGGTCTCATTATAAACGGCCCAATTTAATATTAATTATTATTTAACAAAAAACTAATCATATGAGGAATAAAAAAAGGTATAATAAAAAATAAAAAATAATTAAAAATATCACATCCCGAATTTTTTTATTAAAAACTATATTCAAAATATTCAATGCTAAAATTTTTTGAGTTAAAATATTGTTTATAAAATTAGTGAAAATATTCTCATCACAATGTTATTATATATTTAATTCATAATAGTAATCATTATGTCATTTAATTTAACTTTATTTGGACCATTAAACTACTAATTTCAACTTAAAAAAAAAACCTAAATTCCAATACTAATTCTATTTTTTATATTATATAGGTCATATATAAGTATTCATACTACCTCTACATCATTAATGCAATATAATCAAATATATTATAAAAAAAAAAATTGCTTTTTTTAATCAGAGTAAAAAATTACTTCAATAGTAGTAAAATCAGAGATGATTCCAAAGAAAAAAAAAATGTGGATTTTATCTCAGAAAAAAATTGAAGTAAATTAAAAGTAAAACAAAGATAATTGAAGTTGATCTCTACAAACAATTCGTCCTCACATGACTCTAAGGTTATTAGTGATTCTAGATCTTATTAATGGCTCTCAATTTAATTATGGCAGGAACATAAAATGTTTGTAAGGTAATCAAAATATGTGGTGAACAAATCAAAGTCAAAATATTTTGATGGTGGTTAGATGGGTAGTCAAAATTGATGTAAATAAGATAATTAATGTGCTAGAGCTTATTCATCCATGCATATGACTAAGGGTCTGTGTGGGACATCTTTGTGCATGTTTTGTGTTTGAGATGACCATCATAATTCTGTTTGGAGAACTATTTAGTTGCTTCTTTTTAAAAATTTCAATTGCATAAATCTATTTTTTAAAACTTGTTTAAGAAAACTGTTTCGATTTACATATGTGACACTCAATTATTATGTATTTATGTATCTACCACTTAAACTTCAGTTCTAACCTACATATATGTCATCTTAATTATCTTAATTATGTATGAAAATGTGTATTTTATGTTTTTTAAAGTTAACATGAAGATATTTTTGATGTGGGATGTATAAATATAAAAAAATAAATGTTAGTTGTTAGATATGTAAATACATAAGAATTTTAGTGTATGCATGTAAATGCCAATTTTCTGGGAGTTGCATTTCAGCCCCCAAAAATTTAAAATATTATAAACCACTGATCTATTTTTCAAAAGAAAATAAAATTATGGACATTAACGAAGCTGGAAACACCCGGTGAGAAACGCCGGTGCAAACTGATATCCTGCACAAGGATAAGGTGGAAGAGAGTAGAGAGAATAAGCATCCGCTTGCACCTTCACGATCTCTAATGGCGCTCAGTTCGCCATTCCAATCCTCTATGCTCCCTCCCTATAGCCCTAAACTTCATCCCCTCACTCCTGAGCTATTCCCATTCATTGTCCGCCGCCCTATCCTCCGACCTCCACTCTTCCGTCCGATCGCCGCCTCCGGTCTCGCCGCCACTGACACCACCAACGGAGCCTTAGTCACATCGAAAGCGAAGCAGACACCATTGGAATCCTCGCCATATGGCCGAAATTACTTCCCCTTAGCCGCGGTTGTTGGACAAGTAAGTCATGCTGCAACCTGTTTGCTATGTTTCTGCGTATCGCCATTAGGGCTAGGTCTTTGATGTTTATTGTACTGAGAATTTGTTGCTTACTAGTGGCATTATAGTTTCTTTATTTTGGAAATTTAGACTATGAAGCTCAATTTCTCTTTTATATGCTCAGGGCATTTCATCGTTTGATTGCAAGATTAATGGAAATATTGGAGCAAAGAAAATGTATTTGGCACATAAACTAAAATTATTCAATTGTATTTTTCGCATAATTATTTGATTGCTCACGAGTGGTCTACAAAAACATCACTCAAATGCAGGAACCTTTGAAGCATAGACCGTCCTGATCATTCGATCAAGATAAATGTTTGAATCTGAGCTATTTTGTTCAGGCGTTGAAATTTCAAATTAAAGTCAAAAGGACAGTCCATAGAATAAGAAAAACTAAGTTAACATAAACATAGGATAATAGGGAGGTTGCAGCTCATAAAGCAACTTCTAAAAAAAAAAAAGTCAGATTATTTCTTGGATGGATTATGATCTAATTAGAAAAATATTGAAGCATTTTGTGATAAGAAGGATGGATTGTGATTCTTGAGCCAAGACCGGTTTCATCCAGACCCAGGCAGTAAAAAGATTACCCTTCATGCCATTCTTGCACATGCCTATTTTTGGTCTGTTTGGAACAACAATTTCTCCTATGTGGGCAAGATTGTACCCTCTTTCGCTTACAACTGTAAGTGATTAATCTAATTAAGTCCAGATTTTATCAAAGAACGCCTAAATATAGGAATTTGCAAGATATGAAGATAAAATTATTTTTGTTATATGATTATTGGAGATATTTTGGGCAAACAAAATATATTTCTTAAATGATGTTATGATCTGCATGAAACTATGAATATGGTTGTCAAAAGTAAGATATTTAAGGAATACAAATTTAAATGATTAAAATTTAACTATGTTGAGAAATATAATCTTAAAAAAATGAGACTAAAACTGAGACTATGTCTCTGCCCCTAGAGCAAAGAGCGTACCTTCTAAGCAGGGTTTGTTGTAGCTATTGATCCAAAGGTTGCTTCTGAGGCTTTTTTCTCATTAAAGTTATGCAGAACCCACACTCATTGATCCCAAAATAAAGAGTATGAAAGTTGGTAAGAAATAAGATGAAACAAAAGGGAAATTGGAACTGTGCACAATCAATGATCATGTATAAATATGTCTTGTCCATTTTCATTTATAGAAATAATGAAATCAATATGACCACCCACTAACTTGTTACAAGTACTTAAATTGTATGTGATGGAAAAGAATAAACAGTTTACGGGCTTTTGAACCACTCTACTTTTAGATGCATTACCAAAATTTTTAAATGTATTTTCTTATAATAAAAATATATTTCCATTGTTATGTTCTAAGTGCCCATTCAAAAATGTGAAACCGACATGGGAGTTATCAGTTCTTATCACTCAACAATGTTCATGGCTATCAAGACCCATGGGAGATGGTGCAAACCACTCGATCAACTTTGATTTTATTTGTAAGATTGTGAGAATTAAAGGAAGTCCAAATGCGGGTTTGAAGCACGATGGCCAAATATATTTTCAACCCAAAAGTTTAAGCATTTGAGTAACATTCATCTGCTTAGTATGCTTGTCTACTTATCTTTCAATTTACCAATGGAGTAAAGTGCCAAAATACTCACCTCACTATTAATTTGGGGCCATTTTAGTCCTAGAGTTTATAAAAATGCCAAATGGGTTCCAAACTCTTTAAATTCATATTGAAATCCTCATTGGGCACTATTTTAAACCATATTAAAAAGTATAGGAATAAATTGACACTTTGGGACTAAAATGACCCTCTACAGAGGGTCATGGGACTATTTTGACACTTATCTCCTTACTAATATCTGATTAACAACATTAAAAATGTTATAGCTTGTTAACAAAGGGTGTGATCATTTGATAAAGTGTTGTCATGTTCATCTCTTTTGAATAATCTTTAGGTGCTATTTGTCCAATGGTGGAATTGGATTATAGTCTTGACATATTTCTGTGGCATAGGATGCTATTAAAACAGCTTTACTACTTGGAGCTATCGATCGTGAGATTGGAGGGATTGTCATTTCAGGTAAGCGTGGAATGGCGAAGACTGTTATGGCTCGTGGATTGCATGCCATTCTACCTCCTATTGAAGTAATCTCAGGCTCCATAGCAAATGCAGACCCCTCCTGCCCTGAAGAGTAAGGTTACGCAAAATTTTTGTTATAGTTTCTGTGTAAAAAAGTTTTTGTTTGTGTTGTTTGACCAAGAAATGTTGGGACACTTTTGAAGATATTGGGCGCTTTGTTAAATCTACATTTCATTAATCCAAACTATGTTACAAAGGTTTTAGTTGTGTGCTATTTAATTGGAAACTTTCTCCAGCTAAATTTCAATTTTAACTTTTAGATGCATAAGTTTACTGTTTCTTTTTTGGAGACTTTGTACCTTTTTGTAATATAAGGTTGTAGTTATTTGTGATGAAACGGCAAGATCATCTTTATATCTGTGCCTAATCTTTTACTGATGCCTTTTAACACCAGGTGGGAAGATGGATTAGCTGAACGAATAGAATATGATATTGCTGGCAATGCAAAGACTGTAATTGTAAAGTCACCTTTTATTCAGGTAAATTCTCATTGAGCCATCTCTGAAATTTACGGCTTTCTCATTTAACCTAAACTCATAAACGTTTGTGGTGTTTAAATTCACCAGATTCCACTTGGTGTTACAGAAGACAGACTTATAGGATCTGTTGATGTTGAGGAATCTGTGAAGTTTGGGACAACTGTATTCCAACCTGGACTTCTTGCTGAAGCTCATAGAGGTGTTTTGTATGTTGATGAGATTAACCTTTTGGATGAAAGTATTAGTAACCTGCTTCTAAATGTTCTTACGGAGGGGATTAATACTGTGGAGAGAGAGGGAATAAGCTTCAGACATCCATGCAAGCCACTTCTCATTGCTACATATAATCCAGAGGAAGGTTCTGTACGTGAACACTTACTTGACCGCATCGCAATAAACTTAAGGTATTTAGTATTTTGTTGATGTTCCTATTCTGTATATTAGTTTACAGTTTCACAAGGTCTGCATTGGTAATAACATGAGAAGTGTCACTATTTTAAAATTTGAGTATTTTTCTGCATGATTTTCTTACATTGTAATCCCATCTACTCTTTCAAGTATAAACGATAGTTATTTGGGGCATTTACATACATAACACACAAGTCTTAACAACTATTAAAATATAATAGTAAACTAATACTAAGAAATTAAGCTATTACGAAAATGAGATAGTGAGACCCAAATGTTCTCAAGCTGCAACAGTTCCGTTTCAATTCAGAGGAACTCAACTCAAGTTCATAGAGACGAACATGTCCTTCATCCGAGGTGTGATATGCATGCTAATCACCTGTTGTTCCAACTTGAGTTGAGCTTCACGCAAGAACTCCCAGCTGCGAACACCGTCGATCGCCGATGGCTGGCTGCTTTCCTCCATTGGAAGCTCTAATACCAAATGGCGTAGAACAACCGAGAGGCACCAACACCTTCAAGGGGAAGGAACCGATAAACACAACAAAAATTGTGGTTTCCTTTCCAAATTGATAGCCCAAAACAGAAAAGGCTTTAAGCCACTACCTCTAGCGGGTATAAAAAGGTTGAAACCAACAAAAAGTAATGAGGGACCACGTAACTCATTAGCTAGCACATGACTTATAAAAAAGAAATAAAAAACAGATAAACAACTATTAAAATATAATAGTAAACTAATACTAAGAAATTAAGTTGTTATGAAAAATGAGATAGTGAGACCCGAATGTTCTAAAGCTGCATCACATAGCACTCAAATTTTTAACATCACATAAAAATAGCATTATTATCATTTTTTAAAAGTGAAATACACATTTTCATATATAGGTTTAAAACACCAAAGTGCTATGTATGTAAATATGAAAGTTTAGGTGTGAGATATGTAAATACATAATAGTTGTGTACTACGTGTGTAAATTTTCCTAGTTGTTTTGCTTGGCCTTACATCTAAGCTATCGTCCTATGCAGTGCAGATCTTCCAATGAGCTTTGATGACAGGGTAGCAGCTGTTTCTATCGCAACACAGTTCCAAGAATCTAGCAACGAGGTCCTCAAAATGGTTGATGAAGAAACTGAATTGGCAAAAACTCAGGTAATCGGCAGCATTTAGATTTATATCTGCTACAAAATTACTAAATAAGTTACTTCGAGAGGATTTCCTTCCATTTCTCAAGACAAGATTTAAACAAAAAAAATATGTTCTTTGAAATAAAGTCTGCCGGGGCGCTGCACTTTTTAGGCCAAAGCTTGTCTTGCCATAAAGAAGAAGAAGAAGAAGAAGGAAAATAGGAAATTTGCCTAACTAACTGAGAATGACTTGTGTGTCAAATCTGTTGTAATTTTCTTTATTTGGAATTGCTTGATCTGTTCCAATGATATCATGGAACTAGCTCTTTAACGGCTGGCTGTTTTTTCAGTTTCTAAATGACTAAAAAAAACTGAAATAAGGTTATACGTTTCAAAGATAATCGAATGCAAAGAATAACTAGATAGTCATCCATGCAAATACATGTTACATATTTTGCATAAAAATGTCGACCAATCATTGTCCCATAAAGCCTCTCCTTCAATTAAAAAAAATCATAGATGCTTCATATTCTCAAATTGACGAAGAATGTTCGATTGCGACATCATTATTCTTTCCATGTTCATCTTTTGTGATTGATGCTCATATCAGTTCGCTTTCTTGCAATATATTTTACAAAGATTTACATACATACCACTCATTTCCTATGTATTTACATATCTAACACCTAAAATTTAAATTTTAACATACATGCCACCTTACGTATGCATGTCAAGGTGACTTTGACTTTCTAAAAGTTAGAAAGGTGGTATTTTTTATGTGATATCAAAGAATTGACTTTCACCAAAGAAATGTGCTTGCAATAAATTGAAAGTTTAGGTGTGAGATATGTAAATACATAAGAATTGTGTGCTATGCTTGTAAATGAGCCTTTAATAGCAAATCAACCTAGCAACCTTGTATCTCTTGATTTGTATTCTACCATAACTAGCTTTTATAGGAAAATGCATTTATCTTAGTGTTTAGACTTTCTAAGTTTTAATCTAGTGATGCAGATCATTTTGGCAAGAGAATATTTGAAGGATGTCACTATCAGCAGAGATCAGCTTAAATATCTGGTTATGGAAGCACTTCGCGGCGGCTGTCAGGTTTACTTTCTGTGCTTAGTTTGCCATCTTGTTAATAAATAAAAATCAATTTATTTTAAAAAATTGTCAATTCTCACCTTCATATCAATGGAAGTTACTTTTGATCTTTAGTCAAAATTCTTGTTTTTTGTATGAAAAGCAATTATTAAGTTCTTATAGAATATGTTTTAAGAAGCTCTTCTTTATTTATATGGAGTATAGGTGGATAATAATTTATAATTGTTGGGATAAAAAAAACTTCATTTAGTTAAGCACAATATTTAGCGCAAAGCACCACATCCCAGGGCATTTAAATCAACTCAATTAGGTTATACTTATTGCAAAATTTGTATTCAAGATTTTTTTCAAGGCCAAATAAACCCCAAAATTTGGTAAATTTTTAATTAAAATAATTTTATAGTTGATATAATTCTAATGACACCAAAATCATTCGATTACGAGCACATTTAAGACTTGAGCCAATTAAAGCAGTTTAGATTGGTTCAGTTACTTGCCCTTCTTACGCTCAAGAATGTGAGGCCCATGGGTAGTGGCCGGAAGATCATCGAACTGATCGTTTTAAAATTGCATATTCTCTCATTGAAATTTTGTGTAACTCGGCGCCCTTTGGTTGTGGTGGTACATACTTGTTTTAACAGTTTGTCTGAGTATTTTTGAATTTTTTTAAGGTCATACAATGTGAATTGGCCTTTGTTTTGCAAACTCTTTGGTGAATGATTGTTTTGAGGAGGCTAATATTTGATACATAAATGATGGTTTATCATTATTGTTTACTGGAGACTATCTTTGATCCATTAATCTCATAATTGCTTTTGTCAATCTGACTGTCAGAATTTTGGCCTTCTGATATTCAGGATGGTATATTTGTTCATTTATCAGAGACATAACTAGCTACAACCTAGCCAAACTGTGGCTCGGGTTTGTCAGTCAAGTCAATAAGACTGACCTAAGTTGGAGATCGCTTATTCAATTTCTTAATATGGGAGTATGTAATTTGGTGAATTTGTTGTTGATAAAAATAAAGAAGTTTTATTATAATATTACATAAGGATTGAAATTCCCCTCAAAATGTATAGATAGATTCCAATTCTCATTTAAGACATTTTGAATTCAAATTGCAAAATTCTTAAATTTCTGACCACCAATTAAAGCTCCAAGTTGTTCAGTCCACCCTCATTTGTTCAATAGGATTGCTTTCAAGTTTCAACATCTCCAATTGCTCATTAACTATAGTTATCTTAGCCCACTTCCCTTCATTCCCAGGAGTGGCTATCCCAAGTGTTTTCAATTCTCTATCAATTCTAAGTCGTTTGGTCTACCCCTTTGTGCTGGATAGTCATGGCCAGCAATAGTCACTTATAAACTTCTCGTGCTTAATCCACCCTCTATGTTTAAGACAACTGGCAAAACTCTTTCTTGTCACCCCTTTGTGCTGGACAGTCAGTCTTCTAAGAAATTGAATGACTGAACTACCAATTGCTTGTTGACACCAGGTTGTTCAATTCACCCCCTGTTCAAGATAATCGTCTAGATTGCCCTGAATCACCCGTCAACTTTAGGTCGTCCGGTTTTCTTTTTATTTAGGGAAAGTTTGTCCCAATTATTTTAATTTCTTGTTGAATCTGGATCATTAAGTGCAACCCCTCCATCTAAGAGATGGATTGCCCTAACCAACTTCAATTATTTACCAACTTCAATTTGTTCAATCACTGTTTATTCTTTGTGAGGGGCAACCCTGATTGCTATTCATTGATGTCTATAATAGCTCCTTCTGACTCCCTTTATCACCATCTTTAGTGCATGATTGATTCAAACATTTTTAGTGGTATCCACGACCTTCTTGCACCATTACATCACTTCCTTGGTGTCATGTTCCCTCCACCTCCTAAGAAGGATCAACCCGATTATCTTTGATGTCCTTTATAGCCCATCCAATTGTATTTATAGATTAAAAAACCTTCCTATGTTGTCCTGCTACCACTTTTGCCATCTCTTTCTCCAAGGAAGGACCAATCCCAACCACCTTCAAGGCTTACACAACTTTCTTGGGTCACTTCATCATAATGACTAGGTCTTACAACCTACTCATTTTATTTGTGAACATCCTTCTATTAGTTTTTATCTACACATTTATTGGTGCATTCGGTCATATCTTTTTCGATTCACCTTTTTTTTTCTTTTTGTATACTATGCATGATTAAGGCTTTGTTGTTGTTGTATACTATGCATGATACGTTCTTCGCATGTAATGTTAAATTTTTTAATGTCTGGTATCAGATGATGATCACAAATTTGATATGGTATTGTACCTATAAAATGGATTGGCATTCTTTATGGTTTTCTACATGCTTGTGAATGTCAAAAGGTAGACATTCGGTGTTTTATTTTGATGAAGAGAAATAATTCACAAACATTAATTATGATAATCATCTCCTTGCCTATTAATGAGGGCAAATAAACAAAGCTAGTTTTTTTAAGGATACAACTAGTATAGTCAAATTATGCTCTTAAACTGGAGTCGCATTAGGATTTATTTTGTTATTGGGGAAATTTATTGGAACTAGACCATCTGGTGCAAAAATATGTAAGGTGGTTGTGATTTGCGATATTAAAATTGTATAAAATGGTGTTAAAGATCAATTTTGATGCTCGAATCAGAGATTAGACAATTTAAAGGTACTAACACTCAAGTTATGCATGGTGAAAATTTGATTTCCTTATCCAACCTCTTAGTAGTTTCATGGTTTAAATTATATTTTAGTGGTGTCTTTTGCATAACTTATTACAATCAATGTTGGGGTGCATTATTCGTCTACATCCCGAAACTAAAGGGGCGAAATTTATGGGCCATCTGATTATCACTGATTTTTTCCTTAAAACTTCTTATTTGTGTAATCAGAGCTCTCACAGATTGTTTCTTAAAACCCTCCTATTAAGAATTCAAAACTTCCCCATTGCAGTTGTAAACTAGTTATAATATTTCTAGGTGTAGAATACTGGTAATTTTCTGTCGGGACTTTTACATATATATTACCTAATTCCTATGTATTTACATATCTAACACCTGAATCTTAACTTTTACATTTATACCCCAAAATCTTTCAAACCACATAAAAAACCACCATCTTTACTTTTAAAAGTTAAATACACCTTTACATGTATAGGTAAGGTGGTATGTATGTAAAAATTGAAGTTTAGTTGTTAGATATAAAAATACATAAACACAAGAATTGAGTGGTATTTATATGAATCTTCCTTTTCTATGCAAAAGCATTATACATGAATGCAGCACTTCCACAGTGTAGGTGCCTTCGGCGAGGTATTTTTCAGTTGCATTATGTGGGCACTTGTGATTATAATGCTTTTTTGTTTTTTCATTTTACTTATGCTAATACAGAATACTTTATCCATAAAATTATTATACATATTTAAATCATGCTATGCTGCGTGGTAGTTGAATTTTTGTAAATTATGCTTTTATATCAGATGAATAGAGCCGACCCTCCTTAAAGTTCTTATTATTGAATTACAACCAATTATTCCAATTGAGAAATTAATTTATCAGGGGCATAGAGGTGAGCTATATGCTTCTCGTGTGGCCAAATGTCTGACTGCATTAGAGGGACGCGACAAAGTCAGTGTGGATGACCTGAAGAAATCTGTTGAGTGTCTTTATAAGCCGGCTTTATTCTTTTTATTATTATTATTATTATTGTTTTGAATTGAGTTACAGGTTTTGATATGCAAATTTTGCAATCTAGGTAGAGCTTGTAATAATTCCACGTTCAAATTTCAATACGAATCCACAAGAGCAGCAGAATCAGCCTCCACCCCCTCAGCCACCCCCTCCACAAAGTCAGGACACATCTGAGGATCAAAATGAGGAAGAGGAGGAGGAGGTTTGTCTTAAAATTGGCATGGGATATTTACATTGAGTCTTGTTGGACATTTACATGCATACCACCCAATGCCTATGTATTTGCATATCTAACACCTAAAATTTAATTTTTTTACATTTATACCATCCAAATTTTTCACAGCACATAAAAAAATACTACCATTTTAATTGCATTTTAACTTTGAAAAAGTGAAATACACCTTTTCATGCATAGGGAAGGTGGTGTGTATGTAAAATTTGAAGTTTAGGTGTTAGATATGTAAATACATAAGAAATGAGTGGTATGCATGTAATTCTTCCTTATTTCTATAATGATATCTTTTACCAACATTTTGTTCCTCTCATAATCCTCGTTGGTTAACATAAGAGCAGGATGATGATGACCAAGAGAATGAACAACAGGAGCAGCAAATTCCAGATGAGTTTATTTTTGATGCTGAAGGTGGTATAATGGATGAGAAGTTGCTTTTCTTTGCACAGCAAGCACAGAGACGTAGAGGAAAAGCTGGGAGAGCCAAGAATGTCATCTTCTCTGAGGATAGGGGCCGATATATTAAACCTATGCTTCCTAAGGTTTGCTTCTCTTGCAGCAATATGTCTTCAGTATCTGAAGTTTTTTTGTTGAAGAACTCTGGTTTTTCTCTTTGTAATATCTACAAAGAAAGATTTACAGTTCAGTATTTTTTGCGTATTTTCATTTGCTTAATTTCTATTGAAGTGGTTTCTTACTCACCTCTCAACCCAGGAGAAAATAGGGATACTTTAGGACCAGTATAAACCCTCACACACTTTTCCCACATCACCCCTCATGAACTAATTATTACTTTTCAATGGGTGGATACACTTTTTTCTTTGATTAAAAACCAAAATATGATATTAGAATTTTCAAGTGGGGTTTTTTTTTGGTAAACATTTGAAAAAAAAGTGACGCGGGTGCGGAACAATCCAATGCACCTAGGAAGCTGGAGCGGGAGCAGTGGACCAGCCGGGCTTGTCCAATTGGGGGCCGATCTAGGGTGACTGAGTGGCCCAGGCGATGCTTTTGACGGAGCGAGCGGCCTCCTGCGGTTCTCTTTCGCTTCCTTTTCTGCTTCTTCTTCGCATGGAAGCATTCCAATGGCTATTTTGAGTATTCCCGCCCATTTACATTTGAAAAAAAAAATTGACGCGGGTGCGGAACAATCCAATGCACGCAGGAAGCTGGAGTGGGAGGGCTCCCGAGCGAGCGGGAGCAGTGGACCAGCCCGATCGATCCAATTGGGGCCTGATCTCGGGTGATCCCAAAACTGAGTGGCCTAGACGATGCTTCTGATGGGGCAAGCGACCTCCTACGGTTCTCTTTCGCTTACTTTTCTGCTTCTTCACATGGAAGCATTCTAATGGCTATTTTGATTATTCCCGCCCATTTTTTTTGTAAGACTTTCCTTTCTCCTCTTCTTTCCTTTCTTGTTTCTAGTCTTGCTAGGGCTATATGTACACAGGTTTGCTAAGAGTCTAGGGAGTTTTTGCTGTGAGTTGATTTCAAATTTTTTTGTGTAGAATCCTTTTCCTTTTTCTAGGGTTGTATCTGAGGAAGTGGTGGTGCTTCAGCTGTTTCCTACTCTGAGTTGATGATTGTATCTCCTCTTTTATCTTTTCCACTCGGTCTCCTTCACTTTTCTTAGCCGTCGGCCATCCCCAACCGCTTCCCTTTGCGCTGCTGACCCGATTTCTGCTGCAGTAACTTGTTGTCCAGCTCTTTCCGCTCCACTTTCCCTAACACCCAACAGTCCCAACTGTTGTCCCGCTGCTCCCAGCTACAACCTCACCTTTCCACCAACTGCCACTGCCCTTGAGACACACTCTTCAGGTATCTGTTTGTGTCGTTTGTGTTTTGTTGATGTTATTTTCAATTGGTGTGTGTTATAACTTTCTTTTCCTTTTAATAAAAGTTGAATTTTGTGGTTTGGGCATTTCTCCTCCGGTATCGTTTGGTATCAGTGCTAGCCCAATCTTAGTCCCATCCTAGGGTTACCTTGCATTTGGCCCCACCCAAGCCACCCCCACAAAATTTTTTGTTCTTTTCTATCCCCAATCATAGCCAATAACTTTGACCTAACCCTCAATTCCTCTTGCTCATTTTCAAAATCAGCAACCCTAAGTTAAATTTTTAAACCTCTCTCACCTCCCAACAATAAATCTTGGTCATGCCACTAATGAGATACATGCCTGAGTTTTCTCGGGAGGAGATACGACTAGAGATCTACCGACTTCGGCTGTGGATTGCTAACATTGAAGATGAAATCGAATAGAAGGTTATCCTCGACCGTGATCAGGAGTGTTGAAGGGGAGAACAAGAAAATCTGAGGATGAATCGGGAGACACGATGTCAGTTCCTACCAACTTACTATAGACAAAAACTTCAGACTCTATCTTCAGAATTAGAGGGATCATACCTTCGAGCAACTCCCACATTTTACAGGCAAAAGTCAACCTCATGATCTTATCGCCATAGTGCACTCGGAGGAACATCCGAGAATGATTCATAGTAGGGAACATGAGAGACCATGCCGCATCCTTAAATTTGTTACAGCCAGGAAGTGTTTTAAGTGACAGGATTTGAGCATGTGGAATCAAAATGCACCACTAAGAGAGAGATTTGTTTCACTGAGCAGGATGTTGTTGAAAAATTAGGCAATGACACCGTTGATATAGGAGAAGTTGAAGACTTCCAAGAGTATTCTCCAATTGCAGCTAGCGAGGAAGAGATGTCACCAGTGGACCCCGAGAGAGAGATGTTAGCTGAGGAAACAGTAGCCGTTTGAGAAAGTAGTGACCTTGATATAATGGGTATTCATACAGAATATGAAGTGGTGTTACCCTGAACTGCTGTTTCACTAGCGGTAAAAGGAACACCAGCAGGGCAGACTTTGGATGTCTAAAAAGGGCATGAGTTTGAGGAGTCGACCACAAATACAGGGCAATCACAAATCAAAGCATTGCAGATATTTCATATTTATAGCCCCCCTACTGAGTTGCCCATACAGAGGGAGGTCCCGCAAGTCAGAAATGAGGTCATTAGTGCCATGTTGAGGACATCGAATGGAGTTATTCGGTGGTTACTTTCTAGTCAGCATGGGACACCTCGTCAGTTGTCCAGACAGAAGAATTGACCCCCCCTCCCCCAGCAGTGGGCCCAAGAAAAATGGGGAGGAGAAGCTTATAGTGGCAATGTTATGTCTGTTTGGAGGGGAAAGCCCTAACATAGTTTCAGTGGAGGGATGCTATAAATCTGATCTGCTCATGGTAGAAATTTAAGGATTATTTGTTAGAATGCTTATGGGTCATTTGAGAAGGAGAATTATATGAGCAATTCTTTGCCTTAACTCAGGAGGGGGATTTCTGAAGCAATATTAGAGAGATTTTATGAAAGGTCTAAAGCTTGACATACGTGCAACACTTTTTTTTGTTGAGTCCGCGAGGCTTGGGAGAATTATGAAATTAGCGTAATTGATTGAAGATGAAAGTGTAATGGAACTGGCTAATAGGAGCAACATAGGTGGAGTGTCATATTAAAATGCTACAACCATGATGATTCCAAAAACTCAAATAGAGGAAGTCGAGAGGGAAGCTCCTTAGGACATGAATAATGGGCCACAAACGAGGGCAACGTTCAAACTCTCCAGGGAAGTGAGTAAAATTGTTATGTTTTCGGTGTGATGAAAAATATACCCTAGGACACCTTTAAAATGATCAGGCATTACAGGTTCTCACAGTGTGTGATGTGAAGGCAGAGGAGCTTGATCCAACGTCAATTTTTTTTATCCACCTTTAGGACAAGGTGCTTCTTTGAGAGATGGATATTGTTATGCCGGTGCCTAAGGGCAATTTAGTTTTTTGTGCTTCTAAGGGCAATTTAGTCATTTGTTATTTATTATTGTCTAGTACAAAGGGGGCTAATATATTTAGGGTTTGGGTTATGCATGAGATTGTTGTATTGAGTCTTAGGATTAGGGTTTGGGAGAGATTTTCTACCTCTTGAATCGTATGATTTGGGAGAGAATGCCCACCTCTCGAATTGTAGGTGCTCATCTTATGTATTCGTGCTGAGTTGCTTGATGTTCTTGCAATAAAATATTCGTCTGGCCTAATTTCTGTAGAAAAATCTTCTAGCACTATATCATATGTATGTAAATCTTCCTAGAATAAGCTAGTCACTTAAGATATTAAATTAACGCATATATATACTAGTATTTATTTTTACCTATATGCATGCATGCATGCATACATATATATTAAAATTTTTGTTACAAAATATATAATTTTATAAACATATTTTTAGTCATTTTTGTGATGTGCAAAAATCTGACGTAAAAATTGTTGGATTTTTTTATCATTACCTTAGAATAACTTTTTAAGTATTTGGTGATCTTCATCAGATCTGTGACCTCTGGCTTTAGTACAATGTTATTATCCATAAGCAACTTGGCCTAAGAAGTTGATCTTGCTGGTTGCCAACCGTGTATTCATTTTATATTTTACCACCATTTTATGATTGGGGCATTTACATACATACCACACAATTCTTATGTATTTATGTATCTATGGACGAAACAAAATATTTACAATCATAAAACTCGAATCTTTAGCATCACATCAAAAATACACTATCACTATCTTTTAAAAGTGAATTACATATTTTCATGCATAATTTTATTACACCAAGGTGTTATAAGTGAAAATATCAAACTATGGGTGTCAGATATGTAGATACATAAGAATTGAGTGTTATGCATGTAAATTTCCCTTCATGATTTTGCCTTCCTCTACCACTAATGCATTAAATCAATCAAAGATAATGCTGTTTTGGGTTGTATCTATTTTCTCGTAATATATGATTTGTTATCATACTGATGTTATAATTATACTGCTTAGGATCCTTTCCAATGGCTTCTGCAGGGTCCAGTGAAAAGGTTGGCTGTTGATGCAACACTCAGAGCAGCTGCACCATACCAAAAACTCAGGAGGGATAAAGACGCTAGCAAGAATAAAAGAGTATATGTGGAGAAAGTAGATATGAGAGCAAAAAGGTTGGCACGGAAAGCTGGTGCCTTGGTAAGTTGACATTCATAAAATTAAGGGGCATTTACATATATATACCATACAATTCTTATGGATTTACAAATCTAACGTCTAAACTTTGATTTTTACATTCTTAATACTCAAATCTTTCTTTAACATAAAAAAATATCACTATCACCGACTCTTTAGAAGTGAAATATACCCTTTGATGCATAGGTAAAGTGGTATTAATGTAGATATGAAAGTTTAGGTGTTAGATTTGTACATACATAAGAATTGGGTGGCATGTATGTAAATCTTCCAAAAATTAATAGCTATTTTTTTGTTTGGCCTCTTTTCTTGTTTGGTGATTTATTCAAGGATTCTCAAATGATTTTAGTCAGTGAGACTTCTCTTAGTTCTTTTGCAGTAAGCAACTTCGCAAAAAGTGCTTGAAATTTTAATTTGGGATGGTAGAGTAAAATCTCTTGGTTGAATGCACCTGAATTTTCATACAAAAAACTTTGGGGCATTTACATACACAGCACACAATTCTAATGTATTTACATATCTCACTCCTAGAATTTCATACACACAGTACATTCAAATCATTAATATCACATCAAAAATAGCACCATGACCACTTTTAAGAAGTGAAATACATCTTTGCATGCATAGGTTTAAAACACAAGTGCTATTATGTAAATATGATAGTTTTGGTGTGACATATGTAAATACATAAGAACTTTTTGCTAGGTATGTAAACTTTCCAAAAACTTTCTCTTGTAGTGATTTTTGTATGTATACTTTTCTCAGGTTATCTTTGTGGTTGATGCTAGTGGAAGTATGGCGCTAAATCGAATGCAAAATGCTAAAGGTGCAGCATTGCAATTGTTAGCAGAAAGTTATACAAGCAGAGACCAGGTTCGAACAAGTTATATAAATAGCTCATGATTTATCTCTATCTATCGAATGAGATGCATAAAAATAAAAATAAAAAATGAGATGCATACTTTAGTGAACCAATGAAAGGGTTATTTAATTTTTTTTCATCTTTTAATTTTCAATAATATACTCAAAACTCATATTCTCAAGGAGGTTCAGCTAATACCAGACAAATAAATTTGGAAAAAGGAGCAACTATTTAATACCAATTGGATATGGGTGGCTACTCTGCTCCTAGTAGTACATGGGGCATCGGATTCCATTTTCTATGTTGATGGGGAGTAACGGATGCTTTCGATATAAATGATTTTATGCTTCTACGTGTCTTGAGACCGGGATGAGGGAGCAGAAAAAATCACATTGATCTGATTTTTATTAAGAACCACTGAATTTCACTTTTTTGTATCATTCCTCTATTCATGCTGAAGCAAGAAACCTCCCGAGTTGTATATCCTGAAATTTTTGCTATTTTGAAACTGGGAAATTTACATACGTACCCCACATTTCTTATGTATTTATATGTCGTACTCCTAAACTTTCATATTTATGTAGATAGCATTTTGGTGCTTTAAACCTTGCTGAAAATGTGTATTTCACATTTAAAAAGTGGTAAAAGTGCTATTTTTTATGTGATATTAAAGATTTGAGTGCTATTGTGTAAATATGAAAGTTTAGGTGTGGGATATGTAAATATATAAGAATTGTGTGTTATGTATGTAAATGCCCCTTCAAACATTTTGCTCACAAAGCAATTTGAATTGTTAATTCCCCATAAAACAAATTACATAGTTTGTGCGTTTTGTACGGCTAAAATTAGTAAACCTTAATATGCATGTCTTATTCATTCTAGTTCCATTTGGTGATTAGATGATTTCATGTCAAGTCGTTACATCTTCAGCATGGTTTGTTGACCTGTAGCCTACGGAGCCTGTAAGGCAACCCTACAAAAATTATGAAATGAACCTGTATTTTTATTTTTAACCAGGTGTCAATCATTCCCTTCCGTGGGGATTTTGCAGAGGTTCTATTACCACCTTCGAGGTCAATTGCAATGGCGAGGAAACGCCTTGAGCGACTCCCCTGTGGTGGTGGCTCTCCTTTAGCTCATGGTCTTAGCACGGTATCATATTTTACAGATTTTTCATTTTTTTTTACGTTATTTTCATATTTCTATTTGTTAACTTCACATTATTTCTATGCATAGGCAGTTAGAGTGGGGCTAAATGCTGAGAAGAGTGGTGATGTTGGTCGAATTATGATTGTTGCCATTACTGATGGAAGAGCTAATGTATCATTGAAACGATCTACTGATCCAGAAGCTGCAATTTCTTTGGATGCTCCTAAGCCTTCTGCCCAAGAATTAAAGGTAACAAACAAGTTAAAAAAGTATTAAATTGTTGCGCCGGTGCCTAGCCTAAGTGCAATTTAGTCTTTTGTCATTTATTAATATTTAGTATAAATACGGCTAATATGGCTAATATGTTTAGGGCTAGGGTTTTGCATGAGATTGTATCTTGAGTTTTAGGGTTAGCGGTTGGGAGATATTTCCTACCTCTCGAATTGTAGGAGTTGGGAGAGGTTGTCTATCTCTTGAATCGTCGGTGTTTATCTTTATATAGTTGTATTTTATTGCTTTGATTTGGTGTTCGTGAAATAAAATGTGTTTTCTATGATTTATGTGAGAAATATAATTTTGATCGTAGCAAATTGGTATTAGTGTTGTAGATTTCTTGGAATTTTTGGAAAACAAATAAAAGGGGACCGCGGCTTACGACGAGATCATGGCATTCAGAGACCCGAAACTTCATTTAGTCGCGATTAGAGCTTGCGGAGAAGGTAATGGCGGGATTGCGGATTACAGCGACTCGAAACTTCCTTCTTTCTTCGCATAGAAGGCAGTGATTGGATCGCAATTACTAATTTTTGCAGAGAAGGCAACGACAAAATTGCGGCTTACAAAGACTCGAAACTTTCGTCTTTCTCCCCCTCCTGCTCCGTCATCGCGATCTAGTCATGGTTAGAGCTAGCTGCAAAGCGACAGGGAAATTCTGGCATACAAGGAAGCGTGATGGGAGCTGTTACTTTCAAAGACACCGTTTTAAGGATTGAACATTACATGTTCTCACAGTATTTGATGAGGAGGCAGAAGATGAAGAAATAAAGACAACCATGGTGGAAAAAGAGGAACACCTGGACTTTTTTCCACCTTGAGGATAATGTGTCTTTTACGAGGGAAGTATCGTTACTTCTTTGCCTAGCCTAGAGGGAATTTTTATCTTTTGTGTACCTAAGTGCAATTTAATATTTGGTTATTTATTATTATTTAATATAATCAGGGCCAATATGTTTAGGGTTAAGGTTATGCATGAAATTGAGTCTTGAGTTTTTTGAGTTTGGGAGGGATTTCTTATCTCTCGAATTGTAGAATTTGGGAGAGATCGCCTAACTCTTGAATTTTAGGTGCTTATCTTTATATATTCGTGTTGTATTGATTTGATTTGGTGTTCGCAAAATAAAATATGTGTTTGCACTGATTTGTGTGAGAAATTTATTCCGGATCGTATCATAAACCCATAACACTTCATCATCATCATTTTCGTTATCGGCATTGTCAACATATCTAGATTATCTCAAGGTTAACTATTTTAGTAGGAATTTACGCTATATGTTATTATCATATTTCTTCATTATTGAGGATATTCTTTTGATTGTTCTCTTTGTTTATTTATATGTACACATATATATATTTGTATTAACATTCAATTCCATAAAGATGCAGTCCTTTATGATTCTCTCTTCTAACATGGCGTCAAAACCATCAAAAGTCGCCTCACTAGCCTCTTTTTTATTGGTTAAATTTCACATGCTATTGTCGACCTTTATGGCAATTGGCCTCGTTCTATATTTCTCTTTGTATGCACTTTTCTGTGATTTTCTTTTTGCATGCCCAAGAAGCAATCCCCTATTTGAATACTCAATAAAGTTATAAGAACTTTATTTTGCATATTATAGTCAATAACTAAGGCACTTGGCCTGTCGCTCTATTTCTCTATTTGTAGGCCAGGTAAAGAAAAAAACTAGTTGACTATCTCATTGATGATTTCTATTACTATTGATGTTTTGCTTCTAATTATCGATACTTTTATTTAAGGATCTTATCCTGCCTTCTTTTACATGGATCTACTAGTCAACCTTTTGCATCCAATTCACTTTTCTCTCTCTGTTATATAGTGTTTGTGGTCCTCTTATGATAGTTGCAACTATAAGCCAAATTTTCATCTAATTTAACTCAGACTGCTAATAATTTAAAACTCAAGTTGACATGTTCTAGGAGAGCTTGTGTTTGATGCTGAGTATTTATATTCTTAAATTGTCATATATACTATATATTTATGGTTGAAATCCACACTGCTCATTATTATTATTATATGTTCTCATTATTAATGATATTCTTGTTTATTATTTAATTTTGTAGCTTATATTTAAAATACTTGTGCTTTTGCTAAGGTGGCAATTGAGTAAAAATGCAATATTATCTAATTATCCCCGTTCTGATAAACACCAACATCATTTTCTTCCTACTACATTCAAAGGTAATCTTTTTAATCCTTTTCAACATGCTTTCCTATTTAAAACGTTAGACGATATATGTTTGAGTTTTCAAATACATGGCTGTGAAGTTTTGCATGTAAATGTATTGATTGGAAATGTATTAGTCATTTATTATTGATTTTTTGTTGGTAAATATCACTAGGCTGCATTTCAAATGGGAAATTTCAATTAAGAAAATTTTCTATTAAATGTAAATAAATACAATCCCTCCATTTTCCCCTTTTTTCTTTTAATTCAGAAATCACCCATCTTTAGCAATTCTTTGTGATTTTGCCTCATTTAATAATTTCCTATTCTCTGATATTGCTTTTGACGCTAATGATACTGGATAAAGAACCTGTTTCGTCACCTCCCCCTTTCCTTTTCATCCTCTTTCCTGACATTGATTGAGTGAGTGGCTCAATCTTCATGGAAAATGATCCAACCCTTTAATACCAAACATAAGAATATAGATTTCTCAGTGGCATTGTGGACCTCATCCAGGTTTAACTGACTTCGCCAACTTGACGTTTTGCTTCAAGTTGAAAGATTGATTGTAGAATTATATGAATTAAGTGGTTTGTATGTAAATCTTCCTTTTAAGGGCCATTAACATACATAACGCACATTCCTATGAATTTATATGTCTAACATTTAAACTTTATTTTTCACATTTCTCATAAAAAAGTTCTCCATTTTAAAGTTGAAATTTAAATACACCTTTCATGCATGGTTACACTAGCCTATATGTAAAAATTGATGTTTAGGTGTTAGATATGTAAATATGTAGGAATGAAGTGGCATGTATATATACCTTCCTGCCAATATCTGATTAATTGTCTGCTCTTTAAGGACGAGATTCTCGACGTCGCCGGAAAGATATACAAGGCTGGAATGTCGCTTTTAGTTATTGACACGGAAAACAAGTATGTATCTACTGGATTTGCCAAGGAAATTTCCAGGGTTGCACATGGTATATATATGCTTGTCCTGAATATAACTTCAGAGAAACTTATTTTCATATAATTTCATTTCAATCCAACTCATATAACTATAAAATCCTCGCTCTTGCAGGAAAGTACTACTATTTACCAAACGCTTCTGATGCTGTCATCTCCGCCACAACAAAGGAGGCTTTATCGGTGTTAAAAAGAACTTAAGAGTTACTGGATATGTTCTAGGTGACTGCTCTTCATAACTGTATTTTCCACGTGGTGAGATTTGTAATTTCTATTCTGTGACAGTTTAAACCATAATTTCTTATTGAGTAAAGTGTCAAAATAGTCCCTGACTACTTATATTGGGTTATTTTAGTCCTAGAGTCTATAAACGTATCAAATTAGTCTCTGAACTCTTTTAATATTGGCTAAAATAGTCTTCCTTGAGGTATATTTTAGCCCCCATTAAAAGATTTTGAAGACAAAATTGACATTTTAATAGTCTCTAGAATTAAAATGGTTCCCTACAAAGTTTCAGGGATCATTTTGACAATTTTCTCATCTCCTCTTCCTACTATAAGTTCTCAAGGAAATATATTGTTTGAAAAAATGAGATTTTTTAGACATTGGAACTTGTGATTATTATTTTATTTCAAAAAAAAAATTGAGGTATACTTCAATTTTCAACTGGACTTGCAGTTTGTGGTTACTTTAGAGGCATCTGTAGTTTGAAAGATCCGTTCCCTCTGGTTGAACTGGCTTTTTTTTTCCTTCCTTTTGCTCAGGTACATTGTCTTCTTAAATCTCGGAGGTAAATATTGAAGACTTTTGCTCTTGTTTGAATTGTGGAACACTTTGAACTTGGATACAATTTTTTTTTTCAATTATAGCTGAAAGTTATTATTTCCATTTTTGTATGATTGGACCTCTTGAAATTCCCTATGTTCTATTGAATATTTGGAGCTTCTTGTTTCATAAAGACAACAGTAAAATTGAGTTATGGCATAAATGCATTTATTGTAGTTATGTTCTTATTGGTTGAGTTGCTCGAGTTGGCCAACAATAAAAAATGTCGGTTGAGTTACAGTCGAGAGAGCTGCCAATGTACCGTCCTTTTCGTCTTTTATTGGTAACAACTTAAGAATCTTCGACATCATCGTTGTAATGACTTGGTAAATTCTCTTAAAAAATTCTTGGGTAGTAATTCAATTAGACCAAGTCAGGTTAATCAAGTCATGATGAAGAAGTGTACATAGCCTAAGGAGCTATTGATTATTGAGTTGGTTTGAACCACCAGTGTTATGGTATGGCTCATATACCATATCGGGACAGACGCTGGATCGAAGCGGAGCAGAGCAGAGCGAAAGAATCTGTCCAAATGGGGAAGTTACGTGGGTTGGGATGGGGGGGGCAAAGCCCCGCAGTTTGGTACAGGGGTAATGTTGTAATTACATATTGTGCCTAGGTTTACTCCTGGGGTTATAAATAGGCCTGTTAGTAACCCCAGGAGGAACCCTCTATTCTGTAACCCTTTTCTGAATATTGAAAGGAACTCGCCGCTCTGCTCCCGAGGACGTAGGCATCTTTGCCGAACCTCGTTAAATCTCTGTGTTCTTCTGGATTTGTGTCGATTACTGTTTTTCTTCGCCCTAATTTTCTCAACAAGTGGTATCAAAGCCTGGTTCGAGGGCAGAGAAGAAAACTGCGGCGGCGCATGAAGTAAGAAGAACAATTTGGGGATTTTGGAAGAGATCTGCGTGGCTTCGGTTCAAAATCGAGGTATTTCGGCCAACGACGCAGATTTGAAGGAGGAGTTCCCGAACTCGTGATTCGCTCGACCAGGGACAAGCGACGAGCGGGACGGAGGACGGCGGGTTCTTTGGCTGAACAGCGCGAAGGAGGTTTGCGGCAGATTTTGCACGACGCAGGCAGAGGTTTTCGCGCGAAGTGGTTTTGGATCGGGGCTCTTTGGCAACGCAGGAGGAAGGCAGTTCCGGAGGGCTTCTTCGGCGACGACCGGAAGGCTCCGGTCCTGCGCGAGTTGGCGAAGATCAGAAGGCTCGGGCGGCTCGCGGGAGAAGCGATCGGACAGGAAAGGGAGGAGCTGACGCCGCAGTTGCCAT